ATTAGAATTCTCCCAAGAGTTCTTCAGACTTCTAGAAGCTCAATGAGAAATTGCCCATTGTCTATAAGTGAAACTCTCACTGATATGTTTATTCTCCTGTGATACTAGAAGCTAAGATACCTTCTGTATCAATGAAGGAATAAAGGAGGAATTCTCTACTCTGAGTGATTGACTTTGTAAAGAAATTGCATGTGATCAAATTCCTATACAAGTTTACCGTTTTGGTCACAGATCAACTAGTGGACTTCAGACCCCAATGAACTTGAAATAAGGATGGAAGGACAATTATTAGGTGTCATTAAAAGAACAAGGTGTTCTTTGCAATGCCCCAAGCTGTGAAGTAAAAGTTTTGGAGGGGATGCTAACTGCCAGGGGTCTTTAGTACCCAAGTGACCTTTAAGCCCTATTCTTTCTAGAATATAAGTGTAGAAGAACCCCAAGGGCTAGTTCAGTTAACTGTCTCCAAGATCTACCAACAGTTCCTCCCTACCCGATGGATGCATTCCAGCTTTCCCATCAGGACCTGGAATCTAATTATTTCATCTTGAGTTAGATTGAACTACTCTTATGATTGCATTGCCATTTGGTAGAAACAATGCTGTGCAGGGTCCAGGCAGCTTCCTTTCTGACTCACTTGGCAAATAAGGAGGCCACAGTCCTGCCATAGAGAGAGGCCTCACCTGTCCTCAGCTCTTCAGCCTAGGACCCAGGAGTGAAGTCAAACCATGGCAGCCATGCTAGCCCTCAGCCAAGTTAAAGTGAATGATTGACTGAGCTTCAACTGTTCAGCCACATTCTCCCAGAGTCAGGAGCAAATGATTGCTTCTGGATTCTTTTAAGCTCTATTTTCTGTGGTGCTTTCTTGTAGAGCGAGATATAACTGACATTCAACAAGAAAAACATGATAGATTTGTTCTGTGCACTCCCCCCAGGCCATTTTCCTTCCTGCACAGAGGTACTTCTGTCTCGGCACACCCAGATGTTACATAGACAGTTAGTGGGAAAAGAAATCAAACCCCCAAATAAAACATCAGGGACTTTCTGAGATGTGGCTGAAAGTCAGTTAGTAATAGAATGATGTAAGTCAAATACAAAATGGATTTATCCTGAAAAAATAAATAATTATGTGTAAACACCTGAAGTGTCTTATCCACCCAGGACCACTGTGATCATCATCCCTGGGCAGTGGCTGGATTAAACCCACTTCTATTGGATTGAAACACAGTGTGTCATTCCACATGTGGAATGGAACAGAAAGACTTTAGCCTTTTTGTTCATAGAAAGCATCTTTAAAACCTTGGCAGGGCAAAGCAGTCTGCTAGAATGCTTGTTGCATGAGTTTAAAAAAGTCAGTTAAATTCCCTGATAATGATACCTAAGCCCAGATCACACAAATGTTGATGGCATTAAATGGGCACTGGGGAAGTATAACATTCTTACGACTTTCAGAACTTCACAGTGACCTTTGACCTATGCACCACTGCCATAGGTCACGTGGCCACTGCCATCTCACATCCTGCCCTGCCTCCACTGACAAGCGTCTGGTAGATATTTTATAAGAGTTCTCAGCGAGGCATCAGTTGTCTTTAATACCGAGAGGAAAATTGAATGGAAGGATTCAATTACACATGTGAAGAATGAACCTTCTACCCAAGGTTTAGCCCCTGCTAGTCGGCTTGTTTTAAAACTGAATTATAGGTGCAATCCATTTGCTGGAGACACAGGCATTAATTTCTCTCAGCCCGTTCAGGATTGGGAGGGCAAGGTAGGAGGGAACAGAGAGAAAATAAGATAATAAGAGATTCGTGTTGATTTATTCACCTTTGTGCTATGTAATGGGGGCAGGCGGAAACTGCCCAGGGGGGGGGGACGGGGCGGGGGGGAGATGAAGGAACTGTGGAAGGATGGATTGCAGGGCCTGCCAGACTCCAAGTCAGACTGTTGGCCTTTGATGATATAGGATGCTTCTCTGTCTCTAGCTGCTGTATAAAGATGCACATGCATAAAAATGTGACATGATGCAGCCAGGGTGAGTGAAGAACCCTGTGTCACTCAGGAAAGGGCGACATCCATCACTGCCGTGTTTGCTAGCTCATTCTGTCAAGAAAGGTAAACTGAGCCTGTGAAGAGTGGATCTGCAGCTGTGACTCCTGTGTGCTAGGTTCTGGTAATGAGAGAGAGATTGGCTCATGGCCCACTTGGGCAGACAGCTAGGTGCGGAGGCAGGATGATGATGCCACACAGAAGTCTGTGTATGTGAGCTGTCATAGTTCCAGGGAAGCTCCTGTCCCTTGAAGTTTTACAGCCAGATTGATGAGTGACAGGCTGAAAAGCTCTGGGCCAGAATTCTGTGTAGTCACCCTCATATGGTTAGGAAGCTCATTGTAAGGTCAGTACAAGGGGAAATATAGGAGTCCTGGTTAGATGATTGGAAAAGCTGGCTGAAGAGATTCATGTGATTATATAAGAGGGCTGGGCGGATGGCTCAGTTGGTAAACTCCTTGTCTCGCAAGAGTGAAGAGCTCTTATGTATTATGAAAAGAAAAAAGAGAGAATATGGCTATGATAAGATAAAAAGGGAGATTATGGAATCTACTTTTAAAAAGGAACTACTTCTTTTAAATAAGATAAGTAATGAAAATTTTTTGGTCTGAGTTTATCAGATGTCACTGGACTGGACATTGTTAATATATATAATGGAGTTTTTATCTGAATTTGTCAAATGTTAATGGACTAGACATCATTAATGTAATTTTTGGCTGTATATATTGTATATACTTATTGGATAGTTTTTCTTGTATTAGTTATAAGCTTTCTTTAATTTTAGACAAAAAGAGAGGAAATGTGGTGGTATTGTGTTCCCCAAAATATTGTGTACCTTAATAAACTTATCATAATTCATAATACATAATCGAGGGTTTGATCCCTAGAATTCACCTAAGAAAGCCAGCATGCTGATCTGCACTTGCCATCCCACTAGTGGGCCATGGGAAACAGGCAAGTTCCTGCAGAAAGCCGGCCGGCCAGCCTAGCCTACGCGGGGAGTTCCAAGCCAGGGAGTGGCTCTGTCTCAAATTGGAAAAAAAAAATGGTGAATTATGCCAGAGGAGTGATACCTCAGGTTGTTCACTGGTCTTCATAGGAACACACATATGTGCCTAGATGGAACATACAGAGACATGTACAGACATGCACAAAGAGGGACACTCACAGTAAATGGGAGACTCAAGACTGTAATGCTAGATCGTACCAGCCAGGGCAGAACCATTCTCAGCAATGGCCCTTGTCTGTGTGGCTTCATGTGACCGTGACTGTGAAGATCCTTTTAGACTGTCCTGATTTCATGAATATAGGACAAGATGTCTCCCCTGTGTTAAAGCTAGCTCTCTGGGAGTCACCTCACCCTAAGGGTATGAGTGGGTCCAGATAGCTATGTTATTGGTAAAGTTGGAGTTTACTTTAGGGAATTTGAGTCTTAATTCCAAAGAACGTCTCCCCTTATGTGTGTAACCTCATGCAATTGTACAGAGATATGAGAAGGCTACCGTATCTTCTCTGGTATGCAGGAAGTAGGGAGGCGGAGGTAGTGGCTTCTGTTTTATGCAAAGGAAGATTTCTTTTTAACAAAAAGAACAAAGGGAGATTTATTTTAACAAAAAGAACATATTCCATCCTATTTGTGCAAGAAAATCAAGTCCAATTAGTGAATTAAAAGCTAGTTGTGGGTGGGTGTGGTGGCTCACACTTATTTTAAAAGAAACTTTGAAACCTAAGTATCTTTCAAGTTAAACAGCTGGGAGAATGACTGGGGATAAGATAAAGAGTAAGGTCTCCTACGTAAACAATGGCAGTATCCCTGAACCCAAGGGAATGCTGAGAAATAGCCTTCATTTGTAGAGGAGCTTCTGAGCCATTTCCCCAAGATCCTGAAGTCACCAGAAAACATTGCTGATCGGGTACCCATGAGAGAATCTGGAATAATTCTGTGGGTGTTCTTTTTTCCTGCTCAGGAAAAGTCTAGATGCTTTAGACCAGCACAGTTGAAGCAATTTGACATCAACTTTCCATTCTTCACTGGACTGGGCAGGCTTTGCGCGCGCGCACACACGCGCACACACACACACACACACACACACACACACACACACACACACACACACACACCTAGGAGTACAGATATACCACAGTTTAGCTAGCCATCTTTTATGGGTTTTAAATCTTACCCTTTCCATCTATCCATACTCATTAAGAACAATCTAATCTCTGATTTACAGATTGGCACCACTCACTAAAATATATCCCCAACTCCAGAAGCAAAGCTTGAACCATGTTCTAGGAACCTGTACATGCACACATCTGCTAAACGTTTGAGTCCCTAAACATTACAGCTGTGGTGAACCAAGCGACTTTAGCCTCCTGCTTCAGATTGCACGTGGCAGATTGTTCTAGGATCTCTGTGCAGGGGCTTGCTTTTCATATTTTCACACTCTTTCTCAGTGATCTCAACGTTAAAAATGGCTCCACGCACACAGCTGGAGTGCTCTCCAGTGTCTAGTGTCTTAGGGAGAAAATGCATGTGCTGCCTCAGCATCCTGTAGGCCTCTGTCACAACGCTAGGGGCTACTGATCAACGTCTATGAATCGAAAAGGTTGTGAATTGAATAGTCTTAATATTAAGACCAGAAACTCCATGTATTTGTTCTGGGAGCAATGGATCAGTATTAAATAACTCAAGTTTTGTAGTGGCTTTACAGATGAGCCTCCTGGATCAAGAAGTACTGACTGTGTGTTCTAAGGCTCTGCAGGTCAAAGGCACCGAAGAGGCAAATTCTGCTAAGTGTGTTTAACAGCAGTAACTGCTATTGTAGTTACCCCAAGCACCTTCTTACTGTGTCTTCTCTGATCCTCCCAACAACACTGGAGGTAGTCATTAAATCCACCTGTAGAAAGTAAGATTCAGGTCAGCATAGCTGCTGAATGGAACGGTCAGCATTGGAACTCGATCCCTGAATTCTCCATCACCACCCTCCTCTCATGCTCTTCTGTCTACAGCAGTAAGGGGGAACCTTGAACCAGTCACTTTATCACCAAACAAATGACTGTGCTTGCCTCAAGGTCCCTGGAACACGGGGGTGGAGCTTGAAAGACCTGGAGATTGCCATCCTGAACTGTAGTAAACGCCACTTTTGTTTTCATTTGTTTTTCCCTTTGAGCTATTGCTACTCCATTTGATCAACCTGCAGACCCTGCCCAGAGCTCAAGGAAGTGGTTGCCATAGTGACAGCCATGGAAGTAACATCTTCTATCCTGGCCCATTCAGATTTATCTTACTTTTTGTTATTGTGATCTGAACTCTTTGCAAAGGATGTTGCCTCTCCTTACATGACACACACACACACACACACACACACACACACACACACACACACACAAGGTTAATATAAAAATAACAACACTATAACAACTCTTTATGTTTGTTGCTGATCTTGTCTTCCCTTTAAAGGTCTGGCGATTCTTCTAAAGCAGGATCTGTGTCTCAGACCTTTTCTTTCAGACAGAACTCAGTACAATGCTCTCTTGTTCCTCTGTTCCTCCGGGGAGCTGTGAGGACAGGAATGAGATCAAGTAAAATCACCTTCTGCAATATCTGGATTAGAGCAAGTCATAGACATGAGCATTACTTAGGAGCTTTGTTTCCATGAGACTTTTGAGGGCATTTATACACTTAGCATGTGAACAAGAAAGTTTTCTCAGGTGTTACTACGCATGCGTGGAATTCCTTGTTGTTTACTGAGTGCCTTCCTTGATTCCACCTCTCATACTCAGTTTCAGCCCTCCTGAGCACATGCTATCAACCCCTAAAGGTGAAATGATGAGACTGGGGTCTAGAGAAGGTGTGATTATTTAATAATTAATCAAGAAGTCAACAGGCTATGGTGGAAATGAAAGAGATAAAGCAGGAGGATTGTGAATTTGAGGTCAGCTTGGGCTGCATTTTGGGGCCAGGAGCAAGCTCAGTGGAAGATTTGCCTAGCATGTGTGAGGCCCTGGATTTGAGTCTCAGAACTACAAAAAAGGCTATTGCATGCACTGGATGGATTCTCTTGAATCCTTGGTGTGTGTGTGTGTGTGTGTGTGTGCATGTGCACATGCACACCCAAGCATGTGTTTATACAGATACAATGAAATACAAAATAGCATGCTATATATAAACATATATATGCTATAATATGAAGCATAAAGGTTTTATATGTGCTGTATATAAAGAATACATGTCTGCTTTGACTCACTAAAATAAGAGGAATATATTGTATTATTTTCAGTGACACAGTGACATATATATGTTTATATTACCGTGTATGTGCTTATATACATATAAAAGCATCTACGAAGTGCTGTACTGATTACTGGTTTCGTGTGTACTGGAACTACCCCACAGACTTCCTAAAATCTCAGCAGGTTCTGCCTGCTACACGTGGTCCTCAAATGCCTCTCCCTCCTTCTGCCCAGAAGTCTCTGGCTCAAACTTCCCTCTGCTGCCCTGTGGGGAATGGTTGCCTCCCAACCCCATCTTCGGTGTCCTGTCAAAGAGATTGAAGAACTGCTTTTCTCACACACTCCTAAGCCCAGACCCCTTTTCTATCTTGGTATCCACTGTGTTCCCCTTTCTTTCAGCTCTTGGAGTCTCTTGGAAAATCGGTTTTCTCACCCCATTGCCTTGATCTCCCTGTTGCCAAGCACTCAGCTTGCCCCTGAAGTGCTGGGCTCCATTTCCCAGTGGCTGGCGCTCCCCTTTCTTCTTTCTAATGTGCTTCTGACCCTTGTCAGCCTCAGGATGCTATTCACCAATCTGAACTCCAAGGGCTCTCCCTGGTTATCTCCCTGCGCCGGTGCTAACTAGAATGCCTCTATCTGCATCCCCACGTGCTGCAGATAACAATCAGACCATTTGTAAAATGCAAGCAGAAATAAGCATGTGTGGGGCCAGCCAGCACTCTGGAGGGCTTGGGCAATCTCTCCGCGTGCAGGGAACCCCTCATCCTCCTTTACAGCCCCCTCTGAAGCTTGCACACCAACTGCCAGAGAAGTCAGTGACCAGAGGCATCGGGGCTCTCTCCCTGCGAGCAGGCTGCTTCAGCTCATCTGGCTGACAGAGCCTCCAAAGCAGCTTGATTTTTCGACTCTAATTACCAGCCTCTAATTCAAGGCTGGTCTTCTGATCATTCATCTTTTAAGTGTTCTGCTTCTGAATCCCATTTGGTTCCCTGTCCTCCCTCGCATCCCTACCTCCTCCCCTTGATGTGGCCAGAATAGTTAACTTGGACAATTAGTAAATGCTGAATCATTGAGTCAGTGAATGGGGCAAGTGTCTGTGTGAGGTATACAACTTCCTGAGTGGGTTTAATGGAAGCCTAAAGAGATTTTTCACAGATTCATGGGTTTTCAAAGGAGAAATTTGCATATTAATAAGAAGCTGTTCAGACTGATTCGCTTAATGTGTTTGGAGTAAGTATAATTAAATGTCAAGGGAGATATATCATGAAGTAATGAAGCTGAAGGCAATTCATCAAAAACAAGGTCTGGGGAGAGACATTTCAAATAATAAACAGTTCTCTAACCTTCCTTTTTAAGGTGATTTGCTTAGTCTGGCCCAAGATTTACATGTTTTTTGAGACTCGTTCAAACAAAGATGCTGGGAACGGGGTGGGGGTGGGGAAGAGGAGTGGACATTTTTTTTCTCTGTTCAAGTTTCTAACACGCAAGGAGCTCTTCCTTGACTGCAACACTTTTAAAGGGGATAAACCCGACTCAGTTTTGTCTTCTCAGATACTGGGATGGAGCTAGAATCAGTGCCCCTCACACCTCCCACAAATACAACAGCCATTTACAACCCCTGCTCCGATGAGAGGGGAGGTGATATGCCAGGATGGCTGGTCACCCAGAGATTGCTCTGCAAGAAAAGGTGTTCCATCTCACCCTAAGTCCTGGATGTTGAAGAGTGAGCTCTTTACCCATGAGTTTGTCTAAAGAACCAGCAGCTCCTGGAACGAACTCAATCCATGACTGACACTGAGCTCACTTTGTGTTTTATTCTCCAATCATTGGATGGAATTAATCAAGAAGCCAGGCACTTGCACAAGATAAATCCTCTTGGATTCTGGATGATTTGGGAATGACCCTGAGGATGGTCATCTCAGCTGGCCAGCTGGAAACTGAGAAGGGTCTTGACTCTGCTTCTCAGAATGTGAAATCGATTGGGTTCATTCCCAGAAGGAGCGGAACAAGCAGGCCTCTCACTTGCCCACCCAAATGAGGTCTCAGAGCTGGGGTTAGCGAGGAGTTGAGTTGACGCTATGAAACCACTGACGGGTCCAGGGAAAATGCCTGCCTTGTGCTGGTTGTTCCGCCCAAAGTGAAAGCCATGCAAACAAATGGAATAACTGAGTGGCTCACACTGGTTCTGACGGCATATTTTACCAACTCTGGCTGGGGGAGGGAAGATTAGGCAGAGAAAGCCCATGATTTAGGAACATAATTTAATTTAAATTTTGTGGGATGGCAGGTCTCTCTGATTTCTACAATAGAAGCTACCTTAAGAAGCACTGAGATCAGCCTGCTTTACCCCACATCCCAGCAGGTTGTCTGAACAGCATTATAAAAACTACTGTGACCCATTGCCCTTCTCAGAAATCTGTCCTGAATTCGAGTTCTACCACTTTTCCTGACTGTTGAGGCAACTCTGGACAGATTGACTCGTCTGTTTTGTTGTCTAGAAAGTAGAGATAACAATGACCTTCTTGTTTGACGTTTGCCACAGTTAGAGGCTATGGTATATACAAGCTACATTGTTTTGGAGAATTTTGTCCTCAACCCATGACTTCTTGAAGTCATCGACTTTGGACTTGATATCTATAGACATCCTTTACTGAAGGCTGTGGCTAGAGACAATGAGCCCTGGAGTTTCTTCTCCACTTTATTTAAAGCTAAACGTCAGAAGTAGATTTCAGCTGGGACTGTGTAAGTCCGAGCATGAGGGTCTTTGTGGGATTTCATGTTGCATCTATCCAGAGTGAGAGAAGGTAGGTGTGTCTTTTTTTTTTAAAAACAAGCTCTTGGTCCTACCCTCTGTCCTGATGGCTCATTTTCTGCCCTCGGTGCACATGTAGAGATGACTGACTGATAAATAGGTAGATGAGAGGAGTGGATTCAAATGTCTGTACTACTACAACTCCTTCTCAAAAGTGTATCTACTGTCGACTTGATACAGTAGACAATCAATGCAGACAAGATGAGGATGGCTCTCTAGCACCCACCTGCTTAGAAAGCCTCTTACCTCCTGAGTGACTCTCAAACAGTTCCAAGGAACCACTACAATTTAGTTCAGGTTCACTGAAAAGCAGATGTTGCTGGATTGCATTTTCCTCTAACTATGTTGGATGAGTTTGAGTAACTCTTCTTATGAACAACTTTAGTTTCTTCCTGAAAACCTCAAAAAAGAATATGGCATTAAGGTCAAAGGTAGTTAAGGATAGAATGTTGTAGCCAGGTAGTGGTGGTACATACCTTTAATCCCACCACGGCAGAGGCAGGCAGATTTTTTTATGAGTTTGAGGCTAGCCTGGTCTACAGAGCAAGTTCCAGGGCAGCCAAGGCTACACAGAAAAACAATGTCTTGAAAAAAAAAAACCAAGAAAAAAAAAAGAATAGAATATTCTATTATGACCACACATAGTAAGAATATTCTATATCAGATTCTCTCAACTCCACTCTTTGGTGCATGAATGTTCGGCAATCTGGAAAACTGTAAACCTTGAACTTCCTATTTATATAGTCAAATGTGTGTTTCCATCTGGGAGCTTTTCCCTCCCAATCAGCGGACTGAGTATTCTCAGCTCCCACTGTTAATGGGAATCTCTATCCCATAATCAGTTTGCTAAGACTGTTTATGTGCTGGATGGGGACCAAACCCTATCTTTAACCCTGTGTTCCAGGACAGGCACATCATGTTCAAGAGCAAGAGATAAAGCTAGAAGGCAACTCCTTCCTTTCCTACCCTCAAAGTTCGGTGTGAAATGCTTCTGACCTGCTAAAAGTTGGCTCACGAAATATATTCCCTGGAGTGTTTTTTTTTGCATGGTGTCCATGGGAGTGGGAAGAAAGCAGGAGGTTTTTGTGATCAAGTACAAATGGGAACTGGACTCAGCAAATGTCAATGGAATTTTGCAGTGGTCTCTCAACGACTGTGTTTCTAGAGATCATCGTGTAGAGCCAAGCAGGCTGTGTGACCTCCAGCATTTCCCACACTGCAGTGGCTCAAGAGCATTTATCGAGAAAAGTCGCAGCGCAGTGTCCATAGGCTTGAAGTCTGGCCGAAGATGGACTTTGGCTATTGTTGTTTGTCTAATTCATGTAAATTCCTGTCTATAAAATGAGGTCTTCTTTAGGATGGGTGGTCCTTATTGTTAGAATTTGGTCTTAAGGAAATTATTTTAGGGCCCCATGAGCAAGCTTTTTTTTTTTTCTATCCTGAATGAGAAGGCTGCCAATTTCTCTCCTGAAAACGCAAGCCTAGAGAGTGAATTTTATATGATAGATTGACGTTATGATATGATTGATTTTGCCGTACCATGGGACAAGCAATTCATTCTCTGCCTAACAAATAGCAGGTGCTACTTGCTCAAGGAAACCACCTACATAGAAGTAAAATATCTCTTAGAGGGGCTGTCAGGAGTACTGTGTTATGGAATTCTATATACTTTATTGCTCTGGGTAACTCGTTATTCTCTCAGGATTACCATTTTTCTTTATTGGAGTGTGCAAGCCAATAGGAGTGTATAGGTGGGGCATCTACGATGGCTGTGGCTGTTTATACTGGATCCTGTACTTTGCAGCTTTCCTCCCAGGCCACCTCCATGATGAAGCCCTGTGTCGACCCTCTACCATGGCCCCCAGCCTGTTTCTTCCCATTACCACTCTTTTGTGCATGTCTTTGCGCTTGCAATGCCTGTTTCGGGTTTTCTGCTCTCAAACTCTCATTCATCCTCCAAAGCTAAACTCCACATCACTTCATTCATGATCTTGATTCCTGTTTTCCCAGCGGTTGGATTCATCCCCACCCCTCAACTCATTCTTTTACTATTTGGTTTTCTCTAAAACTCGTGATAGAGCAAGTACATAATGTGGCTCAGAGAGAGGCATCTGTAAAGGAGGAAGGTAAGATGGACAGGTCTGACCCGTTGCCACCCAGACAGTTCCTGCCAGCCCCATGTGCAATGCTCTGCAGTAAAGATGCCTCATCATAGATTAGCACTGGGCTCATCTTGGATGCCTCTACCTTGATCAACACACACCTGGAGTCAAGCATTTGCTGAGATGACCCCAAGGGCTCCAATGGCAGGGGCCTGTCAACTGACTACATCTCACCCAGGAATACAGCAAGTGCTTTCTCAAAGAATGAGCAGAATGGGTGTGTCACTAGGTCTTCCTTGCTGATTTTGTGGTCCACAGGTTTAGAATGTTAGATGAAGAAGGCATTTGGCTGCACTGCTGTCCTTGTTTTGCAGATGTGGAAACAGAGGCATTGCGCTGGCACGCAAGCACCTTGCTTTGTAGGATCTGATCCACACTGAACTGAAGTTCAAATCAGAGTCCAGCAGCCGACCCAACCGTCTCCATCTCTACTCTGTTACCAGTAGCATGTATCAGTGTCCACTTTTCTAATTACCACAGAGGTGCTGCCTCTTCCAGGGAGACAAAGGCACATAGGTACTGGGTAAGAAAGTGAGAAAAACCATTAAAACCTGTGCTAGGTCATTGAGGTTCTATTAGATCCTAAAAGCAGTATTTATTGACAGGAACAATTTGGCTTTTGTCACCTGAAATCTTCACACATTTATAGATACTGAAAGGGAACTGGAACCCACGACCCAGCTCATCTGCAGCAAGTAGGTGGTGTTCTCTGAAGGTGTTTTGGTAAAAGGAAGAAAATGGGTGAGCAGAATGGAAGGAAATCAAAAAGTTTGTCTCCCTCTCAGCTCTCGGCGAACAAACTTCGGGGCATTTCCGAAGTCCCTGTGTGTGTCCTGTGCTGGAGCCATCTTCTTGCTCGTGAGGGGAGGGAGCTGCCCCACAGGGGCCTGGCCCACTTGAGTGGCGACTGATAATGCTTTAATTACCAAGCCCAGAGCAGGTGATGTCTGGCTGCCGGTCCTCAGGGCTCTTGATTACTCAACTCCCCCTCTACAAGGAAACACTTTCCACATCAATAATTAAACAGAACAATTAAGGCAATTTAAAAAGTATAATTAGGCAGAATCAACTCTGGGTCCCCGGAGCATTCTCCCTCTTCATCATGTTTCATGCTCTCCCTCGCCTTTCTTTAAAGCCTCATTTGGGGGATCTAGCAGGCCTCTGTTTTGAATCTTTAAAGCCCACTGGGACAGGGGGAAAGTCCATTTACAAGCATGAAGGCAAGGAATGGAAGATAAGGACAGACCCAGACCATCTGCTTTCTGTCCTTGACATGCTGTTCCTGACACACAGACAAACAACCTCTGTTCATGGGGTACAAGAAGGGATATGCGGGGTGTCTATGGTGCTGGTACCTGCAGTGGGTCAAGGGGTCTCTGGCCTAGGGTCCTCTGTCCCTGGGATGGTGCCAAATACAATGTGTGACTTCCTGAAGGAAGACCACAGGACAAAGATATGTGAGTCCCTCCCACCCACTTCCCTGAATTTATCTGTACCCACTGCTAGAGAAAATCCGTTTTGTTTTTTGTTTTGTTTTTATTTCAAGCTGAAAAAAAGAAAAATTAGTTGAGGGCTCTCTTAGCCTGTTTTTTTTTTTTTTTTTTTCTTTTTCTGCTATCACAGAATACCAGAGGCTAGGTTTGTAAACAGAGAGTTTTATTTGGGTGGTTCTGGAGGCTCCAGATGCAATCAGCAAGCCCGGCTTTGCGGTAAGGCCTATACAGGTTGTTTCACAACATGGCAGAGAAACTGCCGTGTGTGGAAGGAGCCAACCACATGGGTGACCTGGCTTTACAGCAACTCTTCTAGAAAGAACTCTCACTCCTATAAGACTCTATTGGACCAACGTGGATGCAGTCCCAAGATTCAAGCCACCTTAACCACTCATTAGGCCCCACCTCTTACAGAAGCCACCACACCGGGGACCAAGCTGCCAGTGTGTGAATACCGGGCATAAACACTTCCAGTCTATAGCAGGATTCAACCCCAAATATGGAAAATATGAGAATTGATGATTCCTCCCAGCTCATTGTAGTACTTTGAACTTTACAGTCTGTGTGTCTGGTCTTCTCTAAGATCCCAGGGTAAAGGCTGATCCAGTGGTTAGCAACAAAGAAAAATGTACTGATGAAGCAAGGCCTGTCACTGTCCACATGCCAAAGACCCCCTAAGTCAGCATTTAGGGAAGGCTGTCCTGAGACATCACAATCAAACCGGGAGCCAAGAATGCGAAGCCTATCCTAGGAAGGAAGGTGAGGAGCCATCAGGAACTCACATACCAGGACCCAAGGGACAGCAGTGCAGTGACCAGGACAGATCTGAGACGACCCTGTGCAGACAGAAGGGCCAGGGCAAGTCAGCAGCATTCAGGCCTGCAGATGGCAAGGTCAAGGTCCACAACCCCAGGCCCTTCCTGGAGGTCACAATGGGGCCAGGCAAGCTCAGCACAGCCTTCTCAGCTCTAACATCCTTCATGGCATGCCATTTCCTGCACCCACTCCCCGCTTCCTCCACAAGGGATATTTATTTGACTTTCAACTTGACAAAGGAAATCACTGAGAAGAAAGTAGCATTTCTCTTTTCTTCATCCCTGGACAGATTTCCACAAGAACTCAAGGGGAAAATAAGACTGTTTAGCCCTAAATACTGGCAAATACAAATTCACCTCTGATGATCTTCGGGGTCAGCGGGGAGACACCTGATCAGACATGAGGCTGTGTCATTAAAAGGACAGGCTCAGTGGGAGGAGACAGAGTGAGAAGGTCCCCCTCTTCCGTCCTCCTCTGATGTACAATTAAAGCATAAAATGAGTGAGAAAATATCCAATTTGTTTTCTCTAGAGTTCAAGCGGCAATTTGAAAGACTGAACATAGGGAAGAAATAATGAAAATGACCTGCAAGTCTCCTGGTTCTAAAAGGAAACATTTAATCAAAAGACCTAGAGGAAACAAATAAGCAGAAACCAGAACCCACCCCCACAGTGGTCTAGAGGGCAAACAGGCTGCCTCAAAGAAGAAACAGGAAGTTGGCAGTATGTGTCTTCCCACAAATAATACATGAGAAAACACTGGCCTCGGAGAATGGTCTCAAGGAAGACATGTCGGTGACTTGGGGGTTTTTAAGCATCATCCCTAGTGTCGGAAAGACAGATCAGTGGGTAGAGTGCTTTCGGGGGGCAAACATGAGGACCCCGTGTCCAGACCTCAGTCATGTAAAAGCCAGGGATGGTGGTGCACTCCCGTAATACCAGCACAGCGTGATGGGGAGAAAGAGGCGTTCCTGTGCTTGCTGTCAGGCAGTCTAGACAGATCTAGGAGCTTCAGGTCCAGTGAGAGATGGTCTCCAAAGGCAAGGTAGAAAGTGCTCGA